CATAAAATACCAAGCAGCTCATAAAATTTTTTATAGACATGGTCATTATCAATTGTGGCATTAATAAAACTTATATAATTACTTTTATTTTAACTAAAAAGTAATTATATAAGTTTTATTGATGCTCCATGTACTAATTCTCTTTTAACTCTTATCTAAGAGTAAACAAAATTATTTTTACCTTTATTATGTAAAGTTCCAGCTTTTCTTTAACTGTCAACTAATGATTAATAGAGTAAATTTCATATCATTAAATTTACAAAATTAAAACCATGTTTCAACAGTAAGCAAACTAATCAAGTGATAACAAAGGTAACTAAAAAAAAAAAGAACATAATTACGTTTGAGTTTATAAAAAAATTTAAAATCATTTAAATTTAAAACTATTTGATTTAAATTGTTTTAAAGTGTTTAAAATAAAATAAACACACATTAACACGGTTTGACACTGAATTCTGGCAAGTAAGTTTTCTGCTCGCCGAGCAGCATATCTTATATTTCAACAACTTTTTTTTTAATTTTATTTTAGGTGCTCCAAGAAGTCCTGAAGGTCTTATCACAGAGCACCGTGGATAAGCATTTAATAGGAAGTTCACGCCTTCTTATTGATGTAAATAAATTTTTATTTTTATTTTTCGATAAAATTTGTCTATCAAAAACAAAAATAAAAATTTATTTACATCAATAAATTGTAATTTAACAAAGAATCTAGACAACAATACATAATCTAAAAGTGTAAAAATTTTTTAACAGTAGACAACAACTTGAAGGTAAACCAAATGTATATCAACTCAAAAGATTACAAAAAAACAAATCACAACAACAACAGCATTCACTATAAGTTCATATAATATGCATACAACATAACTTAAGAAACATAACATTCATATATAACAGAACATCAGTAACAACATTACGCAAAATGTTATTAAAATACATTATGTATTTTCAGAGTAATTATTAATAAAGGCTTGAAAACACCTATACCTAAAGCAGTAACAGTTTGACACGAAACACTGCTTTGTAACCCTTTGCAGTAAGTGACTTGGCTGGCTAGGTTGACAAATCTTGCTTTACACGTTTACCAATTCACAGCACTTTGAAAACATGGAAATAACATAATATAAACATATAAACCAACTATAAACACAATATATATATATATATATATATATATATATATATATATATATATATATATATATATATTATATATATATATATATATATATATATATATATATATATATATTTACATACATATTTAAACATATTTAAACACATTTAGTATAACTTTTTTGTTGCATAAAAAATAAATAGACCTCATCCATACCTCTATCTTCCTTCTAAAAAATAGAAGATATGCTCAATAAAAACAAAACTGCTAGAAAAAAATAAAGCCAAAAGAAAATCTAAAACAAACAAAATGTAAATGATTTACAAAAATAAAAGGAGTGATCCTTTCTACTTAATTTCTAATAAAAATGTTATATATAAATTGCTAAACTAATTTCTACACTTACTTCAATTATAATATGATCTTAACGATGATTATTTATCTTTATATGATTCTTTAAGTAAACAAAATCAAACGCAGTTTCAAATTTTATATATATATGATAGAAACCTCTACAATTTCATCTATTCAACAACTGAATTATGATTTATCACAACTCTGGAAAATTTTTTTTTAATTTAAGTCTAAATAAATAAACAAATTATAAATAGAAATGGTAGGAAATGCTTACTCCTAGTATTTTTAGCATTTTAATAACTAAACAAAATAAACATAAATAAAAATGTAAGCAAATGTTTGCTGCAAATAAACAAGCTACAATATCATAAAATAAAATAAACAAACATACAATATCAAATTTATATTTATGAACAAAATTCATTTAGTTAGTTACATTAAATAAAATATTTATTGAAAAGCCATAAAAGTTTGCGTGAAACCAAAGTCAATAAATAAAACAAATAGTAAATAAAAATAAAAAATCGTTAGGGCATCAACACACAACAAATCTGATACAAACGTTTAAAAAATAAATACAGCTTAATCTCCTTATTAAATATAAAAGCTTGCCTCGTGTAATTTTAAGTTTCAAAACTGTTTGTATTAGAGTATTTTACAGAATACAGAACCGTTACTAATATTGAACAATAGTAACTAACGGCATTGAACATTGAACATTGAATATTGAACATTGACTTCTAGCAATTATATTGTAGATTACGCTACCAACAAGAGTTACTGACCATTCTGCTACAATCATTGACAATATCTTTTCAAATTATTTCAGAAAATCTAACAACTTCTTTTTGTGATCACCTACCTCAGTTTCTTATTTGTCCTAATTTTAACAAATTATTTATATCACACAGTCATAATTTAAAAATTATAATAAAAGTTTAAATCTGAATTATTAAAAGTTGATTGGAATGACATTACCAATAAAAACAATGTTAACTCCAGTTTTGAAGCATTTATTTCTCAAATAACATTGTTGTTAGATTGTCATGTGCCACTCAAAAAAAATTAGTATTAAGAACTACAAACATCAATTCAAGTCATGGATTACTAAAGGAATAATAAAACCAATTCAAATTCGAAATGTTATTCCAGAGAAAATGTTAAGGATAAAAAATCCAATTAATATAATTAAACTAAAACTTTAAACTCTATATATACACAATAATTACTCTAATAAAACTGAGTAAAAAAAACATTTAAAAAAATTATTTTCAGAAAATGTAAGAAATCATTTTAAAACCTGGAAAGGCATAAAAAGTCTAATGATTGTCAAAAATATCAATCATCTACCAAATTGCTTACAAGTTAGTGAAACATAGATAACTGAGCCAACTCTAATCTGTGAAGAGTTCAACAACTTTTTCACAAATGTAGATCATAAACTCAATTCTAAAATTTGCTCATCTTACATTAGCTATAATTTTCTCATATTCTCTCTAAGCTATTTAATATCTCCTTCTTAAATGGAATTTTTCCTGACATTTTGAAATTATCTTTTGTCATTCCAATATATAAAAATGGCTCAAAACTCTCATGTACTAACTATAGACTAATTTCAATTCTATCTAACATTAGCAAGCTCCTTGAAAAATTAATTTATTCTGGATTATACTCATTTTTGAGTTCCATAAACTGTTTAAATTAATTTCAGTTTGGATTTCGATTAAAACTATCTACTTGCCACGCTTTAATAAGTGTAACTGAAAAAATAAAAAAAACATTTGATATTGGTTATTTCTTTGGTGGTGTTTTTATCGAATTACAAACACATAGTTTGTGGTGTTCCCCAGGGTTCTGTTTTTGGCCCTTTATTGTTTTTGATTTATATTGATGATCTAAATAACTCTGTCCACTTCTTATCAGTCTATTTGTTTGCTGATGATACTAATATCTTGCATATTAATAAGTCTCATCATTCTTTGTGTAAGAATATAAACTTAGATCTAAAAGGGTTAGTTCATTGGCTAAGTACAATTTTAGTTTCGTGGAATTTGGAAAAAACTTTACTAATATTTTTTTTATCTCCAAAACAAAACCTTTTATACAACAATCATATAACTAAAATTGAAATTAATAATACATGTTTATATCCAACACACGTTGTTAAATTTCTTAGTATTTTTTATAGATTTGAACCTCTCATGGAATTTTCATATAGATGCACTTCATAAAAAACTTAATCGAGCTAATAGTATGCTTTCAAGAGTTTGCCATGATGTTAATAAAACTACCCTTAAGAATCTGTATTTTGCAATTTTTCAGTCTTATCTCAACTACTGTTGTTAAGTTTGGGGACAAATTGGGAATATCAATAAATTGTTATCAGGTCAACGTCATACAATCCAAATAATAAATTTTCAACTCTATAATACAGAAACTTCAAACTTGTTCAAAAAAGTTAAAACTCCCTACCTTGTGAGCACTAATTAGATTTGCTAATCTTCTTTTTGTTTTTGACTCCCTTAATATAAATTTTCCTTCCTCTATTACAACTTTTTTCACTGAAACTTGATTTATACATTCACATTTAACTAGAAACTAAATGTACCTCCCTATAAAACTTTGAGGTATGGTGAGTATTTAAAAACACATCAGTACATCAGTGAATGGAATCGAAGTCTTGTGTGCATTGTGAATGAGTTTGAAAAATCAAAACTTCAAAATAAATTATCTTCAGTTCTTTATTTAAAACCAAATAAATTTGAACAAATTCTAAAAAGAAATTTATTTTAATTTTTTATCATTATTAACTTCTTTTAGTTTTCTTATTTTTCTTTTTCTAACTATTTTTATAGAATTTTTATTGTACTTGTCATTATTATTTATTATTTTTAACACTGTTATTTTATTATCACTATTATTATAATAATTGTTATAAATACTATTTATTTGCTTTTTGATGTTGCTTTTTGCTGTTGCTTTTTGCTGTTGCTTTTTGCTGTTGCTTTTTGCTGTTGCTATTTGCTGTTGCTTTTTGCCGTTGCTTTTTGCTGTTGCTTTTTTGATTAATGAATAAAGTTGTTATTGTTATCATTATTTTTTAAATTAATATTTATTTTATTATTTTTTAAATTAATATAATTATTTGGTGTCACTCCTTTGATCAAGTTTCTGCATGAGTGACTCCTTTCTTGTCAATCAATTATTTATATTTATTTTTGATAACGATATTGTTTTATTATTTATAGTAATATAGATATTTTTATTATTATTATTATTATTATTATTATTGCAATTATATGATTGTAAACTTTGAGGAAAATAAATATCTTGTTATTGTTGTTGTTTTTGTTGTTCATACATTGTTCAGCAGCTCAATTATTTTTTTCTCAGCTTGATACGTTCATACATAATTCAACAGCATAATTATTTTTTTCAGCTGGATAAGTTCATACATAATTTAGTATCTCATTTATTTTTTTCTCAACTGGACATGTTTATACATATTTAAGCAATTATTTTTTAGAGATTTTTCTAATGGCTACCTAATTGCAGAAATATTTTCTTGGTATTATCCCCAAGAAATTCAGATGCACATGTTTCAAAATGGAAAATCAATTGAATCTAAGATTAGCAATTGGTCATTGCTTCAAAAGGTAGTATTTTTGATATATTACTTAAAGGTTAAACCTTTTGGTTTGCTTTTTGTTTTAAATTTGTTATAAATGTTTTTATATTTCTAAAAATATTTGACAAAATATTACCTTTTAAATATTATTAAATCATAAAGATTGATGATAATAAGAAACTAAGGAAATTAAGGGAGATCACATTACTTTCATAAATAAGTTAATTTTTTGTTTTTATTAATTTGTATTTTATTTTAATCTTTTATATGTTATGAAAATTTGTCTACATTTGCTGTGTAGGTATAGATTTTAATTGCAAAACTTTGTAAACACCTTTTTGTATATACAGTTGTGGTGTAGTGCTAGAGCGCTCCCCTCATAAGTGAGAAGTTCCAATTATGATTCCACATTCCTAGTTGTATCAGGCTCAGCTTGTTTCTCCACACAGCGACCTTGTTCGTCAAGGTCTGTGTTTCAGAGTTATAGAGTTGAGAGAGTGTTGTAACCCTATCTAAAATTAGTCTCCTCAACTCTAGTAGCCTTACCACTCTCCTACCATGCTTCCCACTGACATTATTCATGTTTTTAATGAAGAATCTAGTTGTGGATACAACGTATGATTCTTTATGGACAAACAACAACTCGGTTTCTTAAATTTGTTGAAAGGTAAATTTAGGTCTATGCTTTTTCCTAGGAATCCATGAACTACATCATGAAATACATACCAAGTTTCTTTGCAACTTTTGTCATCGCTCTTTCAAGTTTCTCTGACTTTAACATTGCTTTTATTTGGGGTCTATCTTTGCCTCAGATAGCTTTGGAAGCTATCTGAGGCAAAGATTAAGCCGTTTGTCAAATGTTTTTTAATACTTTTATTTGGGTATATTTTGAAGTAACGTTGTTATGTGGTTTTTTTGACTTTCAGCGTCAGTATCATCATCCAGATTTTTTTTACCAAGTTGAATATCCAATAATTGGAGATAAGTCTAGTGAGTATGGTGGGTGGCAAATTATTGTGATTCCAGCTTGGTCAAGACAATATATGATGGTTTGAGTTACATGGGGTTGACCATTATCATTGAGAAATTTAAAAATTTGGAGTGCCTGTTTTAGGTCTTTGTTTATTAATTTTGCATATAAGAGGTTTCAAATAATTTTTTATGTAATATTGACTAGTAATGGTGTCTCCCTTTTCAGCATAACACAAATGAACAACACCTATTGTTCATTTTACAACAAGTTTTTAAAATGTTCATAATTAAATACAGTTTAAAATGATATATAAATTTATTTATTTCCTGTATTATTGTAACTTTATATTTCAAGTTCTTTTAACTTTTCTAACAACCTAAGTATTATTTTTTCCCTTCATTTTATGTTCAGCAATATGTAAATTAACAGAGCTAAGCAAAGAAAAATGTGTTAAATTTTTTTGGTATATACAAGCCTGGTATAACTATATTGGACTTATCAAATCTAGAAGCTCACTGTGAACCAAAGAGACTGCTAAGTTTATATTGCAGCATGCAAATGAAACTTTTTTAACATAAAAGTATTTGTTTTGTAGGTTTAGAAAAGTAAGTTTTTAAAATCTGGACCAAGTGCTAAAGATCAAAAGCGCTTAGGTGTTTAAGAATTTAGGAGTTTTTTTATTTTTTCTGAATGTTTTTAAATTTTCATCTGTAGTTAATTTTTTACATCAAGTTGTTTAGGTTTTACAATGGGGAAATTGTACTCCTAAAAAAGTTTACATACACATAAATATAACATACACATTTACATACATATAAATATACATACATTCTGTATCAGGCACAGTTATACGTTTTATATATGACTGTGCATGACACAGAATGTGGATTTTCCATGTTCTATAAAATATGTATAAAGAATAAAGATTTAAGCAAAATCTCTCAAATTTTTATTTACATAAAGCTGAGCAATTTACTCCAAAATACTGAGTAATTGCTCAGCATTACGTGAACAAAAATTTGAAAAAATTAGTCAAATTTTTATTATCGTGAAGCTGAGCAATTACTCCAAAAAACACTGAGTAAAAGCAATTGCTTTTTTATATTCACCCGCCTGATTTTCTCATATGGATTGTTAAAATTAAAATATAACGTCATAATTTTTTATGGTTTTAATTTCAGAGTTTCAAGGGCCGCCACTTTGACGTGCCTGCTATTGTAATGAATGTTTAAACCATGAAATCATGGAAACCATGAATAAAAAATCAACAAACATTCTAAATATCAAAGATTTCATTCTAGTTAAAATGGACTATACTTTTAGTTAAAATGGGCTATACTTTTTTACAACTATTAATGAAAGCATTTTTTGTCTGATTTGTCAACAAAATGAAAGTATTATTTGTCTGATTTGTCAACAAAAATTTAGTGTGCTGAAAGAATTCAATGTCAATAGGCACTATAAAACTCATTAAGAAAAATATGAAATTTATCAAAAAGATAAAAGGAAAGACAAGTTAAAGCCTAACTAAAAAAGCAACAAAATATTTTTCATTCCTTGAACAAATCAGATAAAATCGCAGTCAAAGCAAGTTATAATCTGGCTCATTTAATTGCATTTCATTCCAGACCTTTCACTGAAGGTGAATTTATCAAAAACTGCCTAATTGAAACTGCAAAGATTCTTTGCCCTAAAAAAATTAAAGATTTTAACAACATAAGCCTTTCAAGAAATACGGTTGCTGAATGTTTTAATGACATAGCAACAGATTTGAAAAGTCAGTTAACAAAAATCTGCAAGAATGTTCAGGCCTTTTCAATTGCTGTTGATGAAAGTAAAGATGTCAAAGATGTTGCTCAGTTGTCTGTTTTTATCAGAATTTGTAATTTCAAATATGAAATTACAGAAGAACTTCTGGAGTTGATTCCAATGCATGGAACAACAGTAGGTGTAGACATTTGTTTGGAGAATGAAAACATACTGGACAAGTATAAACTTCCAATTACTAAACTTGTGTCTATAGTTACTGATGGAGCACCCGCTATGATTGGTTCAAAGAATGGTCTTGTTAGTAAATTAAATGAGGAAATTGGCAAAAAGATAAACAATTTTTATTGTATCATTCACCAAGAAGTATTATGTGGAAAAATAATTGATCTGGATTATGTGAATTAAAGAATCTGTTGTCAACTTTATATGAGCAAGAGGACTAAATCATTGTTTGCTTCGTTGTTGAATGAAAATGACAGCGAATATAAGAATTTATCATATTACTCTGAAGTTCAATGGTTATTATGTCACAAAGTACTCAAAGCATTCAATAATCTGAAAACTGATATATTTCAATTTTTGGATACAAAAGGAATAGATATTTTAGATATAAAAAATACCAAGTTTCTTCAAGATTTAGCTTTTCTAGTTAATATCACAAAACACCTAAATGATCTGAACATTATTTTGCAAGGAAAAAATAAATTGGTCACCACAATGTTTAAGCTTTTCAAACCAAGCTTTTACTCTAGGTACGCCAAATTGAACATAGAAAACTTGGTACCTTTTGAGATGTGCAAATCTATGAAGCCACAAGCCCAAACTTTATGTTCTAAAATTTGGGTCTTGTGGCTTCACAGAGACTTAAAAAAAATGAACAATGTAAAACAAGATTTTGAAGTAAGGTTTCAAGATTTCAAAAAACGTGAACCAAAGTTTGCTTTGTTCACCTCACCATTCAACTTTGATATTGAAAAAGTGGAAGAAGATCTACAAATGGAATTAATTAAACTTCAGTGTGATTCTGTTCTCAAACGACATTTTACTGATGTTGGCGTACCCATATTTTATTCATTTTTGCCACCACATCAATTTCCCAAGATGATTCAATTTGCTTGTCAAATATGTGGAATGTTTGGCAGTACTTATCTTTGTGAGCAACTTTTTTCACACATGAAACGAAATAAAACCCTTAGAGCTCCGTGCTTACTGATGAACATTTGTCTTTCATAATGAAAGTGGTAGCTAGCCAAGGCATAAAACCAGACCTTATTAAGCTTTCAGCGAATAAAAGATGTCAAATTTCTGAAAAATTCAAAATTTTATATTTGTTATTATTATTAAAAATTACTCCTTGTTCATTTTTATTGTGCTCTAGTTGTGTGAATTAAATAATGCTAAATTAAACTTCTGTACTTTTTAATAATATTGGAGTGATTTGATAAATTTTATACATAATTATAATCTTGTTTACTTCAATTAAACCTTAGCAAACGGACAGTTTGGGCTGAAGAGTTACACTTCATTCATCAGAAAAATAAGTATTAGCTTGAGCGGCCCTCACAACATTTCCTTAAGCTAAATAGGCCCCCATACCTAATTGAGTTTTACATGCCTGCAATAGAAAAGGAACAATACAAAGAAGCTCTAAAACTATAACCACCTCTGATTCATGTTTTTAATTGCCAACATTCTGTTCTCTACAAAAGTGGATGCTTCCTCTACCCGTATTGCTTAATTTTTTTTTTTTAAGGAAATTAATCTAAAATCATCTTTAATGCGCGTAACATATATGTACTTTAAAATATAAATATTTGAGATATTTAAAATAATATAGTTTAGTCATTTATATTTTAAATGTGTTTAATGTGTTTTTATTTTTTTGTTTTCTTTCTGTTTTTTTTTCTGTACAAAATTTTAAGTTTCTTATTATTATTCATTATGTTTGCAACATTTTCAGTAAATTTTGAAATAAAAATGCGTTTTAATAATTTTAAAGAAAGGAGTAGAATTGTCCCGATTTTATTTATTTAAGTTTTCTGATCAGCTGGGAGGTGCTACTTATAAAAGATTTCATGAAAAATTAGGTTGTGTGAATAACCAAAGGAAAAAGGATATTTTTACACTGGTAGGAGTTACTAATATAGACAATGATCATACATTTTTTTAATATTGCTTTTTTTATTCTAAATTTTACAAGATCTTATTAGATGTTTTGAATAGGAAAGGTTTAAACAATTATTTAATAATAGCAAATATACTGCACATGAAGTGTCAGAAACTAC